TCTGCCGACTTTGGCCAAGGAACTGGACAAATCTGGCTGGACGATCTGGTATGCTCGGGAAATGAACCTTCTCTAGCCATTTGTGGACACAGTGGATTTGGGATCGAAAACTGTGGACACCACGAAGATGCTAGTGTCATCTGTTCAAGTAAGAATGTGTTGTTTATTTTCATAACTTACAGAAATATTTGTCTTGATTTTTAGCAAAGAACAGAACCTAAGCTCTTCAATAATTAAACAAATTTTCTGATTACTTTAATAACAGGCAGGCAAGGACAGTTTCCTCTCTTTCTCCAGCAGTGAAACCTGACATCGATGAATTGTGATTTATCTGCTTGATGTTTGTGCATAAAATTAATTACTGACTATGCCCAAAAAGGCATGCTCAAAAATCTATACTTCTTGAATTAAACATGAATCTAATTGTGTCGAACAAATTATTAGTATTTCCCCTCCAACGACTACATCTCGTACATTAGAAGGAGATACTGTTTTTAACACATTTCTCATGTCAGGTTCCAGCTGAAACGTGCAACAGACCCACAATAAATGTATCAAATCCTGCTACTGATCACAGTTGTTTCATTAAGTTACATGCAGGATTAACTTGATTTAGGATATCAAGCTTTCTGAAACAACAAAATCCTGGATATGCAGGGATATACCCCAGAAATTATTCTCACAAATCTTTCTCTCTGACATAGGTCACAGAGCTTGTTCAGAAAAACCAAATTTGGACACCCAACTCTGACTGACCTAAGCACGACACATTGTGGAGAGCTATTGGTGGGCTGTGTGTGGGCTGTGTGTGGGCTGTGTGTACATCAACAATCACCAGCTTCTGCTCTCAAAAGCTCATCGATCTTTTCACTGTTAACTGCAGAACTTTGTACCTGCCTAGGGACTTTACTGTTGTTAGTACCACTGCTGTGTATGTGCCTTCCAGCACTAATAGAGGCCATGGGTGTTCTCTATCGGACTCTAAGCTTCAATCTGCAAACACAAAGGGCTTTTTTAATCATTGCTTGAGATTTTAATCAGGCCAATTTGAAGACCGTTCTCCCTCATTTCAAACAACATGTGAATTGTGCAACTCTTGAGCCGGAACACTATAGACATGGTTTACACTAACAGAAATAATGCTTTCAGAGCAGCCCCCCACCCCCACCTTGGCTCTTCCGGCCAGCCATCTATTATACTAACTGCATACAAACCCCTAACCTGACAACAGCCAGATGCATGTCTCGCTCCGCCTAGCTCCACTCACATACATCTGGGAACCCGCTCATTGAAAGGAATTTCCCCAACCGAATTTATGGTCTGTCCAATCAGGACGCAGGGCGGGTGTGTCCTGGAGTGGAGAAGCGACCGTGAGATTCCAACAACAATGGCGGCTCGC